CATATGGCCAAGAGGATATCTGCGTGCTTGTGCGAGACAGACGGAAGCAGATCACTATTAGTCGAGTCTACCACGTCGGCGCATCAGTGCTAGGAATAGCACAGGGAAAGCTAGACGAGCAAGGACAACACTGCCGGTTGTTACATGCTGTCAGATTATTCTGTTCCTGGGAGCTTTTGTTGTCGTTTTTCCTACCTACGCCACCCTTTATTTTTCTTCCGAACGAGGGGGGGGGGGGATGATAACGGTCGGGGCATGAGTACCAGGGGGTACTCACCGGATATGTCGATTTGATTGCTATTTCTACGAGGAACTGGTGTACGGGGGCTTGATGGTTGGGTGTCAATGGTAGAGTACCGTTGGCGGTCTCGGCATACTTAGACGGCATTTTGTTAGACCTAGCCAGTTAACATGGAAGGGAAACTTGGACTCTCGATGAGAGAGATGAAGCGACTGGTGTCGCCCCCTCGTTAATTGCCAGCGAGTTACCTTCCAGACTTGGTGGAAAGTCATGTTAAAAATGGCACTTGGGGGAGAAATACAATTGCACGACATACCCGAGCTGCGCGAAATCGTCAGACGCAAGAATACGATCTCTTGTCTGAGATAGTAACTCTCTCCACGCTATGATCGATAATAAATAAACACATGGCGCAAAAGCGCAACCAGATGTGTACAGCATGTACACGCGGCATAACCTTCCTCTACGGCAAGTGTTTTACATAGCCGTCTACATAGCTCTCTCTCTCTCTCTCTCTCTCTCTCTCTCTCTCTCTCTCTCTCTCTCTCTCTCTCTCTCTGTGTTTTGTTGTTAGCATCGACCGCGCTGTGTCTGTTGAATGTGTGTGTTCTGCGCGTGTGCCGCGCGCGGGTCTTCGTGGAGAGTGCTGTGGGAAACCAATGGAACACCGCCTGCTCCAGACCACACGAATAAGTTTCGCTCGGTCTCCGCATTTTCCGTTGGCGCGCGTTCCTCCGCAGCAGCAGCAACGACTATGTATCTACTGAAGTAGGAGTCCTTCGTCTTTCATAGGATACAGCAGTAGAAGTGAAAAACAGCACTCTCCCTGCCGGAGCAAAACGAGCTTCAATTCAAGCGCTCTCTCTCTCTCGATCCCCACGCTATTTTTTCTTGGACTACTTTGAGGTACTCAGCACGGCACGTTAGGGTTGCGGAAAGGCTGGACAGGTGTGTCCTGGACTGGACCGTGCCGTAGATAAGAGCCGGATCACCGAAGGCACCATAGGGCAGCGGGGGTCTCGTTTTAGCGACCCCCTGTTCAGCGACATGCCCTGTTCATCGACCACAAAATAACGTGGCACCGCCGCACCCCGGTAGTATAACTGCAATTTAATTGTTAGTTCGGTTTAGCGGCCTGCCCTGAATAGCGGCCACGTTTCGTCGTGACACTACAGCAGTACACATGTACGGGTCGCTACGTAAACCGGGTCCTGACTGCTGCCTACCATATGTAATTTCCAGTCTAGTCTAATATGCTGAGTGTACTTGGAAGTAAAATGTTGTACAAGACTTGCAGGTAACTCACCTCCGCTTCCAGTCCCTGAAGCCGCCCCCTCTCTTCCCGCCCTTCTGACTGCTGTCTCGCAACCTCAGGTCCAAGTCCACGCCGCCGCCGCCGCCGCCTGCACCACCACCACCGCTCCCGCCCCCGCCCCCCTGCCCCCCCCCCGACGCTGCAGTTGCGCCCGGGAAGCTCATTCCCCTGCCCGCGGCATTGAAGGCGGCGGCGCCGCCCTGTGGCGCCGGCACAGGCGCTGGCATGCCGAGCAGGCGTCCTGGCCTTGGCGGGTCAGTGTCGTAAAGGTCGTGATTGCTCACGGCTCCTGCGCCCGACGACGACTGCTGTTTTCGCCTCATGGAATGGGACAAACAAACCACCGGTCCTTTTTGCCCCTTGGGTGCCGTTGTAGCGGAGACGGGCGGAGAGAGCGGTGGGGAAAGGAAAAGCTTTGTGTGTTGTGCGGCGTTCCCGCTCTCCTGCCTCGAGTGCTGCGTGTTTTTTTAATCCGTCTTGTTCTTTCGGTAGTGGAGCACACTCTCACCAACACAGTGTACTCCCGCTGCCGGTGGTGCGTCTTAGTCGCTCCTCCTTTGCAGCTGTAAGTCGCCGGATGTTGCTTTGCCTCGCTCGCTCGCGGTTGTCGCTTACCGTTGCGCTAACCCCGCCGCTCGCTGGGTACAGCCGCTCTGACTCGCCTCCAATCCGCTCGGCTCCTCCTAGGCGTTGAGTGCAGCACTCCCTTCTCGTTATGCACGGAGGAAATGTATGAGGGCAACCAGCAGCAATCCTCTGTCTGTATTCGCACTTGGAAGATATGTCCTGCCGCGACGCTTGACTGCTTTTGCGTCCCCGTTTGAAGGGCAACGGGCTGCGAGGGGTCAATCGCTGGAAAATATATCCAGGGGGGGGGTTCGGAGCCATCTGCGTTTCCCCTTTCTTTTTTTTGCATGCTGCGCTCCAGCATCTGCTTCTAGCATCACATACACCACGCAAACGTCCGTGAATATGAACCGGCAGCAGCAGCTATCACGTGGGCCATCGCCCGAGGCCGTCTTTGCCAAGAGGAGAGGAGAGATCCCTTATCAGATATACTTCGAAGTCAGGTATAACGATTGGCAGACAAATGCGTTCCAAGAATTCCGAGTTTTTTGCTGTCCCTCCCCATCTCTCTCTCTCTCTCTCGCCCCTCTCTTGTTCGCTCATCACGCCAGATAGTCAAAGAGCGATCGGTCTCAAACACGAAGGGCTAGACAGAGGGGCAGCAAAAGTTGTTGCGCCTTTTACCTCTCTCTTCTTCTTCTTCGCGGCTCTGTCGCGAACTTTGCCCCGGGCGTGCTGAGCCGGCCCCTTGTTGTTCCGCAAGCCCCTGGTCAATGGCGGGCCCTGGGCCAAAAAAAATCGGCATGGGCCCGCTCCGGCCGGCCGGCAGTGGGTTCAGGAACATTTTGTTCTGATCGTGTGCCTCTGTGGCACGTGGTGGTATGCGGTGCCCGCACCCCCTGCCACACTGCCGTTATGTCGCAGAGAAGACGCCCCTGCTGAGGCCGGCAAGTCATCCCTACTTGACTGCGAAATTGTGATATCTCAAACACGTGCGTGCTCGGTTTCCGTTGTGAGCGATTCAAAAGGTTGGTATTAGGTGTGTACCAGGTATGATATGATACCTTTTGGTACACACCTGTTCAGCTGACCTGTTTGTTGCTCGGACCATTTCACGCGCAGCACCGCGGCAGAAAACACCACCTTAAACGCGGTTCCAAAATGTTGTGCCATACACAGGATCAAGTATTCCAGTCGCCACGCACGTGTGCACGTCCAGGCACTTGTCACGTGAGAGTTGAAAGAACTGCAAAACACCCTATTTGCTGTTGGAGATGATGATGGATGATGGGGCGGTCGGCACCGGGCCGCAGAGATGAAAAAGCACCGCACCGCTGCCGCTGTACCGTTAACTCCGCACAAAAACTACCGAAGCAGCAGTAGTAGGAGTGGTCTGGCTTGGAGTGGACGTCTGGTTGTCCTGTTGCTTGAAACAAAGGAAAACAAGTGTCCGTTGGCGTTAACCTTGAGTTTTTAAAGAGAGCCGCTGCTGCTGCTGTATGTACTGTAGCTGCAATAAAGAGAGAGCGCGAATTAAATGCAGGAGGGACCAAGGTGGTCGTGAGAAGGGTGTGCGCCCAGCAAGATGTCGCTGCCCACGAGTGACAGACAGATTGTGCCAAAGCCGAGAACGATCACACAGATGCACTCACGACTACCCTGACATAAAACACTACACCGGGTGATGATAAACTCTCTGAAAAATCGGAAGCAACGTGCCGAGTAAATGTCACCGCCCCTATACACTCGAGGTGTGTGCACGTGCCAATGCGGGCCCGCCGGGTTGATGACCACACGGCGGTGGTGCGGCGAGATCGATCACGCACGGCGCGGAGAAACAAGCGACCCACGCCCCCTCGTGTGTGCGGGAGAAGCACCCCGATCCAGAGCCACGCCGATATATAGTGGACGTGGGTATGGTTACAGAACCTAAACCTTGTGATGGATGCTGCAGGCACCTCCGCTGCTCTTGACTCGAGGTGGCGGGGGCCTCGATCGTTTCTTTTTTCAAAACCGATTGCTTGCCAAGCTTTTGCACCGGTGGCTCCTGCTGCTGAAGGTGCTAGAGCTGGGGTGTTGTCTTTGGTGTGGCCACCGCTCGAGAAACGTGTTGTGCTGCTATTTTAGTCCTCAGGATGCAGTGACCTTCAAAGCTCTCCCCTTACAAAGTTTCCCCGCCACTGGTCGGATGCAACTGGTGGTTTGTGCGGTGAAGGGCGTGGTGGGCGTGCATGCCCTAACCCCGGGGTTGGCAAGTCAGGGGTCACGACACCGCCTCGATACACACACACCACACCACACCACACCACGCACCCTTCCTAATTCCTACACCACCTGCAAGTTTGTGGCATGAAAGTTTTTTTCCGCGTTCACGCCCCTTCGGACGAGGTGCCTCGTTTTCCTGGACTCCTTCGTCACCCGGCCGACATGAGATAATACCGCCCGCCCCTCTTACCCCCGGGGTGACCATGTTTTTCTCATGCTATGATACCCTCGTTCAGTAGCCTTGGCAAGGTTGTCCAATCATGTAAACATGTTGGATAATGGATAAAATCGGGAAAGTTGGGTTAGGGTTGGGGTTGCCCTGTTCTTTTTCCTCAATAGACTTGTTAATCTCGCGAAGCTGGTCCCAGTAGGCGGTCCAACTCGTTCCCGGGGTTTGGTTTCTTGCGTCATCTGCGACATGTAAATCTCCGCCTCTGTGTACCATGGTTAGACTGCTGTATGCATACAATAGTTCTTTCGCGGTGGAATTAAGAGAAGAGACGGAGCGAAGTCGGGTGTTGACGGGGTGAGACAGGGAATGAGCTCGCTTGCGTGCTTGGAAGGAAGAGCGAATGGTACAATTGTACACATGACGAACGTTTAGTAACAGAGGGCGATATTTGTATGGTGGGGCGTAATCGGCGAGTGCGGCGTGCATGTCGACACAAGACTCGCGCTCCGAGAAAGTGGTTCTACAATGGCGCACCACCTGACTAAATAACGTAAATGCTTCCCATCGGCCAAATAGAGAGGGACAGACCGGGCCCGATAAGGGACGAGAAGCCCTTTGTAGCGTGGGTGGGTGCGAGGTGGAACAGACCAGACGAGGCAAGGGTTGGCGTCGGGGACACGACACGCCCCTCAAGCTCGTGCTGCCACATGCGCAAATGCCGCGTTTGTTTATGTTCTGCTGCTACCACCGTCCGTGGGGCTCCAGCTGCTGATGCAGTGCCAGTGCTGTGCTGCTACTGGTCTGGTGCTTCGGGTAGATGTCAATGTTGGCTAACGCTGACACCCCACCACTGTTGTCCTGCCGGGAGTACCAACCTTGTTATGCCGTCGGAACACGTGCGCCAGTCGTACCAAATGGGTCAATTGCTCTTTAGTTTCAGTAGAGGCAATAACCAATCGCTCCTGAAACAATTTCGCTATACAGCAGTACCAACCACAACACACGGCTTGTGCTGCTGATTTGGTCGTGGTTTATAACCAAGCGGCTGGATTCCAGTGCTCCTGATCGCGGTTTGGTGCCTGTTGCTTGCATGTTATTTTAACGGCACATTTGATGTGCGATGCCCTGCCCTCCTCTGTCTTGTGACAATTTAAACGCCGTGTAGCAACATCGGGCGCAATGTGGAGAGCAGCAAGAAGAGGGCGAGGTGGAAGTTCTGCTTTGGAGAAGAAGGCCGGGAGCATGAGGTACAATTGAAACAGCCGCGCGGGGTAGTTCGTGCTGAGTAGCTATCCGTATGCATACCCGTATGCAAGAATTGCTCCAGCGTAGATCATCGATGTGATAAGATACCGGGAAAATGAGATTGCAGCCGGGTGGGGGCGCACGGCGGGAGGCGTTGAGAAAATAGTGTGGAACATGGATTGGATCCGGTCAAAAGAACAGTTATCCTTTAAAAGACGTGATCGCAGCGTTTTCTTTTGCAGTTTTTCGATGGAGCGAGCAGCACGTCTCTTGCTCTGATCTCTCAACAGAACGCACACGGGCAGTGACTGACGAATTTTGGGTTGTCGATACCGCACCAATGCGACGACCCGTCGCGGGGCTACTATTTAGGGCTTGATGCATAGGGCGACTTGTTCATTTCCTGCATGTTTTTTTGGAGGACGTCGGTCGGGCACAGGGCTGGCCGTGTGGCCAGCACACATGTTTCTGTCGCGTCTCACAGGGTATCCGCCATCAAGCCAATAAGTCCCTTGAAGCCTGTAAGGAAAGGCTGGTTGCCAAGGAAGGGGAACACTGGCTTGGATAGTTTTTCGGCTTGATAGTGCTTGTTGTCGGCCCTAGTGCGTGTCACCCCTCCCTGCCCCTTGGCCACTGACGTGCATGGTGTTGAGATATCCACGCCCTACCTTTTGGCACGCGAGCCGCGGCAGGCCCGTGATCTGTGTCACGAGTATTGTTTCAAAACATTCAGTGATATGTGTCACGAGTACTGTCTCAAAACATTCAGGCGACGAACGTACCTTGCACACATGTCCAAACTCTTTCCCAGCCCCCCCGATGACCTGCCCCCCCCCCCCCCC